CGGGTGACCCACTGCTCGGACGCTTGCACAGGCCGACACCTGGCCACGTTTACGCGTCGGCCTGGGGTCAAGCCTCTACACCCTAACCACTGGGTCTCCTCCTGTCCCTGCGTCTAGCCAGGTAGCTGCGTTGGGTCGGGTGTTTGCTGCCGCGTCCAGGTCTGGTCCTGAGTCTGCCCCCTGCTCGTGTCGCCTCCTGTCTCACGAGACTCTCCTAAGGCACCACCGTCTTGGTCACCCCTCCCTGCCTCGTCTCCGAGGCATGACTTCCCGTGTCCTTGTCTCTGGTCTCCCCCGGTCCCTCCCTCTCCTTCCTCCAGGGCCTGGTCCTTCCTGTGTTCCCTATGTCGAGGGGCGGCTCCGGGCTGCCCCTCACTCCTCTCAGTTTCCCCCGACAGAGGCCCCGCTGCAGACACTTCACATGGACGTGTGGGGCCCGGCCCGCGTCCGTGGACAGGGTAACAAGCGCTACTTCCTACTGGTGGTTGACGACTACTCGCGTTACACCTCAGTCTTCCCCTTGCGCAGCAAGGGTGATGTCACTGAGGTGTTGATCGACTAGATCTGCGCAGCTCGTCTCCAGCTCAGGCGGAGCTTCGGCTCGGACTTTCCTGTTCTGCGTCTGCACTCTACGAGGCGGAGAGTTCTCCTCTGGCCTTGTGCGAGCCTACTTCCGTGCACGAGGCATCCGCTAGACCTTCGCGCTTCCGGACTCTCCACAGCAAAATGGGATTGCTGAGCGCCGCATTGGCATGGTCATGGACGTCGCCCGTACGTCCATGATGCATGCGGCTGCCCCCCATTTTCTGTGGCTGTTTGCGGTTCGGTATGCGGCGCATCACATCAACCTTCACCCCACGCTCTCCATGCCGGAGACCTCCCCAGCTCTGCTGTGGACGGGGAAGGTTGGCGATGCGTCTGCGTTCCGTGTCTGGGGAACTCGGGCGTTTGTCCGCGACTTGTCTGCGAACAAGCTGTCCCCTCGTGCTGCTCCTTGTGTCTTGCTTGGCTTCCCCCCTGACGCACCAGGGTGGCAGCTCTACCACCCCTCCTCTCGTCGTGTTCTGTCCTCCATGGACGTCACGTTTGACGAGTCGGTCCCCTACTAGCGTCTCTTCCCCTACCGCACTCTCTCCTTCCCCCCGCCGCCGCACTTCCTTGTGCCAGGTCCCCCCCAGGTAGACCCCCTCCCCCCTCAGGGTCCTACCACTTCAGGTGTGTCCCAGGTAGACGCAGTCAAGCCGGTTGAGTTTGCTTGTGACTCTGGTACTGCTGCGGGTGCTGAGCTTGGGGGTGCTGACTCTGGGGGTGCTGCCGCAAGTGGGTGCTGAGCCTGGGGGTACTGAGCCTCGGGGTGCTACGACTGGGGGTGCTGAGCCTGGGGGTCCTTCACCTGGGGGTGCTGCGTCTGGAGCTGCCGAGCCTAGGGGTGCTGCGTCTGGAGCTGCAGAGCCTGGGGATACTGAGTCTGGAGCTGCTGAGCCTGGGGGTACTGAGTCTGGAGCGGCTGAGCCGGGGGGTGCGGAGCCCGCGGCCGTTGGACCTGCTTGTGTGGCGTCTGGGGGTGCTGGGCCTGGTGGTTCTCCGTGTGCTTCGTCTCGGCGGGAGCCACTCTCTCCACAGGAGCTGCGCGAGTGGTTTGCCCGGCGCTGGAGGCGTACTACTGGAGCTAGTGCTTCTTCGGCTGTTGAGGGTGTTGGTGCCACCGGTCTTGGAGGTGCTAGCCCAAGGAGTGCTGGAGCTGCTGGGCCTGCAAGTCCAACTGGAGTCGGAGGTGCTGAGGGTGCTTGCACTGAGGCTACTGCTGTCAGTCCAAGGCGGTCCTACTGCGGGTGCTGCTGGTGCTGCTGGAGGTACTGGAGCTGGAGGTGCTGCTGGCGTTGGTGCTGCCATTGGGGGTGCTGGTGCTATCCCTGCTGTGTCTAGAGTTGCCGCGCGGCCTCGGTCGTACTTCGTTCTGCTCCTTCAGCAGGTTCTTGGTCTTCCTCCTCCCTAAGAGTGTCCATAGCTTGTCTAGTCACAGTCACAGTTACCGCCGGCCTCCCCACTGCCCTGCTCCTTCTCCCTACACTGGTCCTACTAGAGGTCTTGCTGAGCGTCGTGAGCCTACGTCTCGTCCTGCGTCGCCTGTTCGTGCAGTTCGCATCAGCGTCCTCCTCCTGTCCCTGGCACGCACCGGATGTCTCTGCGTCCGTCCACTGCTCCTCTGCGTGCCCCTTTGCCGTCTCCTCCAGAGTCCTCTCTTCCTGCCCTTGCCGACCCAGAGTCGGACTCTCTTCGTGCTGCCAGTCCTACTGTCACGCGTCTCGTTGCTATTGTCGTCACTGACCCTTGTTTTGAGTCCACTGCTGCGTCTGCTCTTGTTGCTGAGCTCGTCGACTTTGCTGCTCGCTGTCGTCTAGACTACGCTGCTAGTCTCGTTGCTGAGTCTGCGTCTGTCTGTCCTCCGTCCGTCGGGGGTGAGTGTGCTCTTGGCACGGACGTCCTTGAGGACAGGTAGGAGGAGTTCCAGTGCTTGGCAACTGCTTCACCTCATCTCGTGTCCGTACTGCTTACCCCTGAGGGAGACCAGGATGCACTTGTTATCTCGATTCCGCGCTCTTACGCGGAGGCGATAGAGGGTCCCTACTACTCTCCGTGGCAGGCAGCTATGGATGCAGAGATGGCTTCGTGGAAGTCCACAGGCACCTACGTTAACGCGGTTCCCCCACCTGGGGCGAACATCGTTAGTGGCATGTGGATCTTCAGGGTGAAGCGGCCGCCGGGCTCTTCGCCTGTCTTCAAGGCGCGGTACGTGGCTCGTGGCTTCAATCAGTGGCAGGGAGTTGACTACTTTCAGACCTTCTCTCCCACCCCGAAGATGACCACCCTTCGGGTGCTGCTACACATAGCCGCTCAGCGTGACTACGAGCTTCATTCCCTTCACTTGAGCACTGCTTTCCTGCAGGGTAGCCTGCACGAGGAGATCTTGCTGCGCCGTCCACCTGGCTTCACGGGGTCTTTCCCTCTTGGCACCCAGTGGAGCCTCCGACGGCCCGTCTACAATCTCCGCCAGGCACCGCGCGAGTGGCACAACACACTGAGAACTACGCTTGCGGCTCTTGGGTTTGCTCCCTCTACTGCTGACCCGTCGCTGTTTCTACGTACCGACACCTCTTCGCCGCCGTTCTACATCCTCGTGTACGTCAACGACTTGGTCTTTGCCACAGCTGACACTGCTAGACTCGCCCACGTGAAGTCCAAGCTACAGAAGAGACACACGTGCACAGACCTGGGTGAACTGCGCAGCTACCTTGGCTTGCAGATCACCCGGGACAGAGCACGCCGCACCATTACCCTGACTCAATCACACATGGTGCAACAGGTCCTTCAGCGCTTCGGCTTCACGTACTCCTCGCCTTAGGCCACTCCTCTGCCTACTTGCCACTCGCTCTCAGCTCTGCCTTCGGATGAGTCCGAAGAGTCGAGTGGCCCGTACCCAGAGCTAGTTGGCTGCCTGATGTACCTGATGACCTGCACTAGACCTGACCTTACATACCCTCTTAGCATTCTCCCACGCTATGTTGCTCCTCGGAGACACAGACCAGAGCACATGGCTGCAGTGAAGAGGGTGTTGCGCTACTTGTGCAGTACGTCGGGCATGGGGCTAGTGCTTGGAGGGCAGAGTCCAATGGTCCTCACTTCGCACGCGGACGCTTCTTGGGCTGACGACCAGGCTACTCAGCGGTTGTCACAAGGTTACACCTTTAGCCTTGGTTCTGACTCTGTTTCGTGGCGGGCTACTCGCTCGTCTTCTGTTCTCGGCTTCAGTTTTGAGGCCAAGATCTATGCCGGGGCCATGGCTGCACAGGAGCTTCGCTGGCTCTCCTACCTGCTGACCGACCTTGGAGAGCCGCCTCGTTCTCCTCCAGTCCTGTACGTAGACAACAAGGCCATGCTGGCCTTGTGTCGAGAGCAGAGACTGGAGCACAGAACAAAGCACATTGCTCTTTGCTACTTCCTTGCTCGTGAGCTACAGCAGCGTGGTCAGTTGCGGCTTGCGTACGTGGCCTCTGAGGCCAACACTGCTGATGTTTTCACCAAGGCACTTGCACCTTGTGATCATCAGCGCTTCTGTACTCAGCTTGGTCTTGTGCCTGTCTTGCCTCACTTGCTCACTTCTTGACCTTGCTTGTACTGTCACATATGTATACTCCTGCTCTTGTTTGCTTAGCCTCTTATATATATATATATGTGCTCCCGCATGTGAACTGGCCTTCTGGCCTTGAACTTGTGCTCGGAATGTGTGGTGACTTTCTGATCCACCCTCAGCTTTGCTTTGTTTTGCTTGACTGGTCTTGTAACCCCTTGTTCTCCCCCACTTTGCCTATGGGGGTGTGTCAAATTATAATGTTGTCTAGGCTTTAGTGGGGTAGCCCATATGGGGTACACATTTTTAGGGTTGCATATTTGTATCACTTCCATTCCAAAGTCATTCCATTCTCTTTCTAATTTCCTCAGGCGGTGGCAGGTGATCTCAGCGTTCAGCACCGCCGCCATGACAGTTTCGAATACTTTGGTTGTCTTCTCGCTTGCACCGGCTATAAGTGCCGCCGTCTTCCCTTCTTCCACAGCATCGACCACCTGGGCGTCGTCGTTCTTGACGAAGCACCAGACGGCGCATGCGGATGCTGCTAACGCCAATGCCACCATCGCCGTATTCTCCTCCTCGTCTCCGCTTTTCTTCGACGCGCTCGCAGCGGTCTTCCCATACGCAACGCACATGGACACGTGACCTATGATGGCCGACATCATCGCCGACGACTTCTCCTCTGGCACCCCCTCGACGGGGAACCACATTGCCGGCCAGAGCGCGTCGTGGAGCGCATCGCCTGAGCTCTTGTACTCTTGATACTTTTCGAGATTATCGTTGAGCCCGTCACGCAAGCACATCAAACAGAACGAACATAAGTGACAATGTCATTATCCATTTCTCAACTTGGGGCCGAAGGGTATCCGACTTACCGTATCTTTGGAAGGAGCACACCCCGGGCCCACATCACCGTCCACATCCCTGTCGGCAAGATCTTGACCTCCTCCCACACCTTCCTCCACCTCTCCAACTCGGCAGTGTCCAAGCCGATGAGCTCATCCATGAGCATCTTGCTCACGAAACCGCCGTAGACGACGTACGCGATGGAGTGCACATACGCGAGCTGCATCTTCTCGCACGACTTGCCGATGTACCGATCAATGCCGTGCACCTTAATCTCACCGACCCACCCTGTATGTCAGCAATATCCGCGTCGAGGGCAGCCTCCTCAACAGGGCCGCCGCCTTGTAGCAAGCGCAGCACGCACACCCTTCTCCGCCGCTTTCTCGACATCAGCCGCCACCGGAGTGGGTGCTGCGTAATTCCCCGATGTTGGCGTCGCGCTAGAGCCAGCTGCCTGCTGAGTTGGCGCAGTCGACCCTCGCATGCCCAACTGGGCGCGCAGCAAAGCGGACTTTAAGTCTGCAAGAGTACGAGCGGCGACGGCCAGTGCTACACGTGGCACACTGGCGGATGGCACGGCGAAGATGGGGGCTTCAAAGCGAGCTATTGTTTTGGCAAGGCGTGCATCGACAGGGGGGGGAAGGCTGTTGAGCAGCCCTATGGCTCGTAAGGAGCCTACCTGGTCCTTGAGCGCGTTCGCAGCGGCCACCCCTTTCCCCGCGCGGCCATCCTTGTCGGCAGACGGGACGTCAGCAGACGCGCCGGTCGGAGGGCGTGCACCTGCGAGAGGCTGTTTAGGAACCGATGTCACCTCCGCTATCTTGGCATTCAGCGCGTTGCCAATTTTGGCAGCACCGCCTGGGGCCGTTTTGGCGGCGGGGATTTCCTTGTGGCTCAACCCTTTCCCTCCGCTCCCCTAAGTTCGTGGCTTCTCGGCGACCAAAGGCGGAGCACTCGGCACGGCGGCGTTCTGGTCGACGGGACCCCCAGCACTTTGCCGAACTGTCTCCAGCTCCAGTCTCCCTAGCTCCCTTGCTGCCTTCGCCGGCGACACGGGACCTGCCAGCTCCCTTGCTACGCTTCACGCTCGTGGCGTCTTCTCCGTCTCCCCCGCCTCCGTCGCCCCCTCTCTGACCCTGCTTTTGGGCCTCCTTTGGATGCGCTTCGCCGACGGCGACGACCCATGCCGAGCAGGCGCCACCGTGCCGACCACTTCGGTCATTATCTTCAATCCGGAGGCAAGAAACGACTGCTGCGTCGCCTCCGTCACCACCTTCAACACATCCTCCTAGAAGGTCTTCATTAGCTCTTCCGGGAAGGCTTGCGCTGGGGTGATAGGCGGCGGCGGCTGCTGCACGTTGAGGCGGGGAGTGACGGCGGCTGCAATATTGGTCTGCGCGACGCCGATGTATTTAATGACTGTCTCCTCCAAAGCCTTCCTCGCCTCACCCACCTTATTCGTCACGTGATCGGCCAATGCGTTCACCGCGGCTGCGCGTTCGACCGCCATTCTTCCGTTGGGGTCGTCATGATCCCGCAAAATCTTGGCCTGACAAGTGAGCAGCGGTCGACGAGGGGAGCTTGGCGACAACCGCTGACTGTTCCGGTCGACGAAAGGGGTCCGCCGACCAGGGGGTAGCTCGATGGGAGTTGTGGTCGGCCAGAGGCACCTGGTGGTCAACCAAAGGGACCTAGTGGTCGACCAGAAGCACTGGTGGTCGACCGAAAGCACCTGGTGGTCGACCGGGTTGACCGGGAAACCTGCTCGACGAGTTTTGCGGAGGCACGCGAACGTCGTCGAGGATGCAATGGCGCAGGCGACTGCGGGCTGGTATCCCAGAGTTGATGTGGCTCCTCAGGCGCAGACAACAGCCGACGGATGCCCAATGAGGCAATTTGGGCCAAACGCATGTGTGAGCGTGCGCACTGCTGTGTTCTACGGGGCAACGCTGGACAGCCGCTCTGCTGCAGCGTTGGCACGCCATCGACCTGCTCTGTTGGCTGGTCGCCCTTCTGCAGTGCTGGCGCGGCTTCTCTACGCAACGCGGCTTCCCTAAACCGAGCTGCGCTGGCGGTCGACCATGCTAGCAGTAGGGTTGCTAGGTGCCTGATGTAGTCATTGTTGCCAACACTTGTTGAATCATTCAGTAATTCCAACTTTGCTAGTGAAACTCTGGCCAACTTCTCCCATGAATGTGCAAGTGCTAAGGAACGCAAGCAAATCTACGATCAATCCTAGTTGTTCGTGCCAGCCCCGTAGTCTAGCTCACTACTATTGTAGAGTGACTCTCCACATGGTGTAGTGAGCGTGGACGGCCCCGCAAATTACCTTCAGATAGGAGCCAACTTTTACACCTACTAAGTCGTTCGTAGGCCGTCAGCAGCGTTATTCGCCATGGTCGACCCCGTAATTGATGCGGGCGTAGCAGACACATTGGAAGCACGTTTGGCTGATGCGAGGAGACGCCACGCGGATGGCGAGTACGGGACGATCCCCTTGGTGATCGCCGAGCTGGGCATCCGATCGCAGTGGGCGACGGAACACCCTTCCCGTCCTGCTTCTCGACCGGTGCGCAACGAGGTCAACAATGGTGCATGAGTCAGCAGCAGCGAAGCCACGAGGCAGAGAGGGGTGATCAAGGTCGACGGTGGTGTCGACGGAATCCAAGCACGAGTGCAGCGGTCGACGGCGGCTGCAGGCAGCTCTCGTGCCGACGTCGATGTTCAACGTCGCTCTCCTCTATGAAGCGATGGGGGGCTCTCGGCGACGACGCATGTGACGGCAGGCGGGATTGCACCGGCGTATGGCTACTTCAAGTTCTCACCGGACCGGATCACCGTCGCACCGCTGCGAGGTTGACGGGACCTCATCACCTGGAGGGAGTCAATCGAACCTCAGCTGGAGGTCCCCGGGCTGAAGGGCTTCGCCGACGGCACAGTGCCAATTCCGTCCGTGGATGATGTCGAGCTGCGCGGGGAGTTTTGAGCGGCTCACTTGCTCACCTTCATGGTCATCTCGAGGTGCTGCTCGCCGCTGGTGCAGCTGGCGCATAGGAGCTATCGAGAGCGACTCGATGCTGGTCACCAGGCATGGCACTTCATCATGTCGACGTACCAGGTCAGGGACGACCTGTACATCGAGGAGCTGGAGGAGAAGATGACTCACATTCGGATGGGCGAGAAGGAGTCGGCGACGGATTACTGCAACCGTGCTCGACGGATCCTGGCTGAGATGCGGATGGCGGGCGCCGAATACTCGACGGCGTCCTACATCACCCACATCGTCAAGGGCTTGCCGCGCAGCTACAATCTCATGAAGAGGATGATGATGGCCCGGCACGCGTGAGTCCCTCGACGAGGACTCCATCACCAGCTACATTCTCCAGGATGAGGCGATGTAGGAGGCAGAACAGCCCACAGAGTTCCTTCCGCAGGCAAGTTACGCTGCACCGACAAAGCCGAATTGTCAGCAGGAGCAGCGTGGGAAGCCGGGCGGAGGTAGTAGGACGTCAACGAGAAGCGGTCGACGCGGGACAAGGGTAGACGAGGTGGTGGTCGACGTCGGGAGTGCTGGATGTGCGGCTACCCCGACCATCTCTCCTTCGAGTGCCCCAAACGCGATGACAGCGACGAGGACGACAACAAGGGAGGCCATGGTCGATCGGCAAGTCGTCGCCCCTGTAAAGATGAGAAGCCGCGCAAGGAGAAGCAAGTGTCGAAGAAGATGTCGTCGACGAAGGATGTTGACAGCTCCAGCAGCAAGAGCCGAGGCGACGGGGAGGCGTCGTGCTCAATGGTCGGCGTGGTGGAGCCAATGGTCTCGCTGGCGCCGGAGGCTGGCGAGGAATTCCAGGAGGTGGCGGCAGCTGTGCAGGCCAACCCGATGGCGGTGTTGCTCAACAGCGAGTGCTCCCACCACCTCATAGGGACAAAGTCGGTCTTCGTTGACATGGGGCCGAGCGACGAGGTGAAGCATGTGCGTGGGTTCAACAGGGCATTGCAGCCTGTCGAGGGTCATGGAACTGTTGCTCTGCAAGGGAAGGCCGGGAAGCGGGTCCTCATCCCCGACGTACTCTACGTTTCGGGCGTACAGACGAACCTACTGTCTGCTGGCCAGCTGAAGGAGAGCGGAATGCTGCTGCAAGGCAATGGCAACGAGATGCTGCTCATTGCCGCGACCAGGGAGGTGCTCGGTAGAGCGCGCTCAACCGGACGAGTCCTCTGCACCGACCTTCGCCCCTTCTTGACGCGGTCGCCGTCGATTGAAGTGGTGGCTCTACGGACGATTGTCTCAGCGACGAAGACGACCCTTGCCTTGTTGCATGCGAGGCTCGCGCACGTCACCGTCGACACGATCAAGAGCTCGGCCTAGCATGAAGTGGCTACAGGGCTCGATATCACGCCGTCGACCGGAGTAGACGCGCTGTGCGTCTCGTGCGGCGGAGGAAAGCTGGCGCGGCACACCTTCTCCGCCAAGGGCTTGGACGCTAAGGAGGCACTTGCTGTCGTACACATTGACTTGTGCGGGCCATTTCGGGTGGCTGCCTAGGATGGCAGCTTGTACTTCCTGCTGCTGAAGGATCGCTTCACTCGGTTTGTGTGGGTGATGTTGGTCGCCATGAAGAGCGAGGTGCTGCGGGAGTTCCAGAAGTGGTTGGTGTTCGTGGAACAACGAGCAAAGAAGTCGGTGCTGTCGCTTCGCTCCGATCAAGGAGGGGAGTTCCTCGAGAAGGCGTTCACCGACTTCGTCGACGGGAAGGGCATTGTCCACGACCTGACGTGCCCCTATACTCCGTAGCAAAACGGCATGGCTCAGCGGGAGATGCGCACGGTCGTCGAGTCAGTGTGGACAATGCTGCTGCACATGGGCGTGCAGCACCACTGGTGGCACTTTGCTCTACGACAAGCGCTCTGGGTGCGCAACTGCTTGGAGCGGTCGACGACGTCGCCATGGACGATGCCGTACCAGCTGCTGACCGGGCAGAAGCCCGATCTTACACTGGCGCGGGTGTGGGGCTGCATGGTGCATTTCATGGTTCCCGAGCAGCAAATTGGTGGGAAGCTGGCGCCGAAGGCTCGCTGGGGACTTGACCTGGGTGTGTCGCCGGAGAGCAAGGGCTGGGAGGTGCTCGACCTGACCGACAACAAGGTGGCCACGTCAATCGAGGTGATCTTCTACGAGATGCTATCGCTGGAGGTGTGGAAGGCGACGTATGGGCCGGCATCGGGGCGGACGTAGGCGCACCTGCCGTCGGACACCTTGACGGCGACAATTCCGTTGCTCGCCGAAGTTGACAAGCCTGCTGATGTGGATGTTGTGGAGGTTCTTCCCCCTCCCCCTGTCCTTGCTCCTCCGTTCCCCGTCACAAATTGGCCTAGGTCGGCACCTGCGTCGACCACCGACGATGAGGGGAGCCTTGGGGCGTCGCCTGTGGCGCCGGCTCATGGCATCGCCGGCGGTCGAAAAGGCGCCAACCTCATCAACCAGGATGGGAAGCCGTCGACTACAAGGGAGTAGCAGACAGGGGAGACGGTCGAACAAGAGGCAACAGCAGCGGTGCAGCCGACAGGGGAGCAGCAGCCGGGGCGGTCGATAGGGGAGCTGTCGAAGTCAGCAGCAGACGAGCAGCCAGACGACAGGTCAAAGCAGTTGGTCGACGACGAGGACATTGACGAGGAAGGGGAGCAGTCGGCGGGTGAGGAGTCCACCGAAAGCGACGTGGTGGAAGTGCCGATCACGAAGCCTGAGCTGCGACGCACAGGTCGAGCTCAACGGCCACCGGAGCGGCTGAGCTTCCACGCCTGCCTACCGCCAGCTGCCTTCACCACGGTGTTCGACGAGGTCGAGGACGACCTGTTGTACGACGACGCCGAGGAGGATGAAGACCTGACGGAGCTCGACCCCGACATCCACCCGACCCCGAACCATGCTGGGACATCGCCACGATGACGGTGAAGGAGGCGACGTCGAGCTGGAATGGCGAGGCGGTGAAGGCCGCCATGGAAGAAGAGATTCGCAGCCTCATCAGCATGGGCACTTGGGAGCTGGTCAAACGCCCACGTGGGGTGAACATCATGAAGAACCGGTGGGTGCTGACGACCAAGTACCGAGTCGACGACACCGTCGAGCGCAAGAAGGCGAGGCTGGTCGTGAAGGGCTTCACGCAGGTGTACGGTGCCGACTATGACGAGACGTACTCGCCGGTGAGCAGCTACGTCACGCTGAGGATCTTCCTCAACATCATCGCCGTCCTCGACCTCAACCTGATGCAGCTTGACATGAAGAGCGCTTTCCTGCAGAGCAAGCTCGACAGGGTGCTTTATATGTACCAGCCGGACTATTTCAACAATGGGGGCGGCCGAGTGTGTAAGCTAATGAAGAGCCTCTACTAGCTAAAGCAGTCGCCACTGCTGTGGTACAGGGCTCTCAACAGTGTGCTGCTGAGCGCTGGCTAGAAGAAGAGCCAGGTCGACGAGGCACTCTACTTCAAGGCCAGCGACGACGGAGTG